ACAATATTATAAAATAATATATGAATATCGTCTCAAAACTTAGAAAATTGAGAGACACATTCAGATATCCAGGCTGAATAATATACAGAACGTTCTTAAGATTATAACTGAAACTATGGGACATATGTTTCTGAAGGAAGAAAGACTTCTCTCTTGTTATGAATGCACACTTAACGGACGGGCTTCAAATGGCGACAAAGGTAGTGAAACAGCTAACTGCATGATTAAGCAAGCATTTGATGTTGAAAAATATATAAGATATGAAGAAGGCCTTTGTGAAGGTTTTGAAGCCGAAAATGTTTATGTTAAGATAAAGGCTGAAAAAAGTTTATGGATCTTTTCCAGTCAGAATTCTAGAACAGTATGACTTGGACATGGAAATGAAAATGTTTGAGTTTGGATTGAATGAACGAAAGCAAGTAGGGCGTCTATCTCAGGGTGATTCAAAGGAACAAATCTTCGAAATAATGCTTGTATAGCTAGGACTGAAGACTTAGGCGTAAATCATATAAACCAAAAGTTGAAAAATAGAAATCCAAATAACGAGGTCAGGGCATTTCTGTTAAAACTACATAATGTCATAATCAAAAATTTAAAAGAGGTTAATTACATTGCACAGAAGAAACAAAACATTGCAACTTCAAAGGAAACGTCCGTACCAAAAGTGATAAGAAATCCTTGCAACTGTGATAGTTTTAGCCCAGACAAAAATAGCAGTTTTATGGGAAAAAGAGAAAAAGACGATGTCAGCAAAGAACCAAATGAATTGAATACCGAAAACCTTTGCTCAGACTATATTGATCAAAGTAACACCGTAATTTTAACGTGTGCAGACGAGCAGCCACAAAGTAATGACAATGCTGATATCAAAATCATAGAAATTGTTGATCAATTTCATTACGGTATAAAATTATGCATGTTTGATTGAATAAAGATGTTGATATTTCTTTTTGTTTCGTTTTAATTACCTATAATTGTGTACATGTGATCGAAATATGTTTCATAGCTCAATATACTGAGTCTGACGGAGATTGATCGTACAAGCTCGTTACAGTAGGCTTGAAACTGTTAAACAGGAGACAACAATTTTATCATTTTACAGGCAGATTCGTATGTAGTTACTAGAACAAACATCCGCTTTATATTGGTACAGAAATTATCCAATGTAAAACTGCAATAATTTAATATAAAACGATTTATTTATCATTACACGGGTGATACGCCTAGACCTACTAGGGCAGATAACAATGTGGAAACTGCAATATATTGATAAAATATCATCTTGGTTATGAAACATATTATTTAGTGATAGCTCATTACTTTGGAATTGAACAAAGGAACGAACATTATGTGAACATTATGTCTATAACAAACGATCGAACATAAATTTCATATTTGACTGATCGTTGAATATTGATAATATATTATTATAAATCACTATGCACCACATAGATTTCGAACAAAACTAAATTCTGGGATTTCGTATTATAATGTGCATCTATTTATAGATTGGAAAATTAAAGGCCAATTATGCACCAAAATGCTTTTATTTTCATAATTATCACGAAGGTTTTTATTTTTTGGTGTCCTATTAAAGTTTCTAGAAAACACTAATTAGCCCTTTATCTGAACCACTTTTTGCTTTTGTTGCGTACAGATGTAGTGATTTAGTATTTTGTATGGAAGTGGAAAAAACTACTTTGTTTGCATGTTGATACTTTTATGACAAATTATTTTACATATCACGCTATTTTCTAAAGGTAACAAACATCAAACATGTTTTTCAATCCATTATTTAAACGTTTTCTAATGAATTTATCGTATATGTGCGGCATATTGTGCCTTTAATCGATTCAATGTTTAGCAAAAAGAAAGACTCTCTTGAATCAAAGCTAGATATTATAAATTTTCATTATAATTATACAGGTTCATGCGTTGTGTTATGTTTAATCTATCGATCATGTAAAAAGAAACTGTTTTACAAGACCTCTTATAAGTTACCTGGAAATACACCCGGCGCTCAGGAACTATGCACTCATGACGTCACGCGTCATGCGTCTTCTGTTACAAAGTGTTAAAATATATAAGATTGGAAGAGATCTTAATTAAGAGTAAGTGTTCATATCGTTAAGAGTGTTTGGTGGTCTAGAGAACCCGAGGCCGGACAAATAAATTTTGAAAAATCGCTTGCAATCCATTTGTAGTTTAGTAACACAATTTCATTTTGCTGTCATAAGTATTTCAGGGAAAATTGATAAAGAAAACACATTTATATCCGTCATTTATATACGAGCGTGGGTCAATATGTATTGTAACATGATGTTCACCTTCTCTTTTGTGATATGATGTTCACCTTCTCTTTTGTGATATGATGTTCACCTATTCTTTTGTAATATGATGTTCACCTTCTCCCACAATCCGTGAAACCCATGCATACTCTCAGAAGCACTTATAACCCGACACTAACATTTTTTGGTTATTTGTCGACGGATTTTGTTCAGATTTGGACCATACTAAGTTCAATATAATTTTATGTTATACTTACTACATAGAATTTTATTTACAATTCATTGACAGAAAATGGAAAAAAAAATAACAAAACAAATAGGCTACTATGAAATAAAAAGTCAAAGAATGGCTGTAAAATACTGAAAAATGAACAATCTTTGAATCCGAATTAATCTGTATTTCAACCAGTTTGAATAGTTTGTGCCCTCCCATGGCTATAATAACGCGTAAACACCTCTTATCACACACTTATCCGTTAATGAACAAGGGCTTGTTCAAGTTCCAGCAAATTGCGAGGGGCAACTGGTCGCTTTCTTTCACACGCCTATTCAAGTCATCCCACAAGTGTTAGATCTGGTGACTTGGGAGGCAGAAGGAGTTGCTTGAACTCGAGCAAGCCTTATTCAGGAGTGGAGAAATATTCCCTTAGCCTTTATGAGGAACTACGTCATTTCAATGTCACAGATGTGTTTACGTTGTAATAATCTTTTTGTTGACTCCTGACCTAAACGCAACTAATCAACACATTACTTTCATGAACGGTATAGGGTATTCCAGCGCATGAAACAACTGTTCATAAAATTTCATTTTATAATCACTGATAATTGGTAAAGACAACTATTATCCATCAAATAAGAGAAATCTGAATTGTGTTTTTAAAACACCCAAGAAAGCGCCAAGTCTGAAACCAAACTGAGACAGTTTTGTGTTCCTATGAAAATGCCCTTAACTTATTACTCTCACGACATCAATTTCCGAAAAGCAATATAAACGGATAAACACTAAAAGATTGCCTTTATAAGCTCCTACTTTTGGTGTCCATGTCTTCTCAGGATGATGAAGCTAATTAAAATCTAAAGTCTTTAGATAAAGATAAGAAAAAATTCCGAAAAATGTCTTAGATATACTCTACATGTATATTCGTTTGCATAGATGCATGCACCTAACAAAGGTGCATGTATGGTCTTAACAATACGAGTAGATTGAAACATAGCTATTTTTTTCTTATTTCTTAGTCAACCAATACACAAGTATATCGTATATCGTATATTACACAAGAATATCGTATATCGTATATTACACAAGTATATCGTATATCGTATATTACACGCCCACTGTGTAGAACATGTACTCACATAAACAAAGCAGAACAACAAAAGCAGGAAAAATAATTACTTGATATTTTGAAACAGTTAATGTTTATTCACACCTACAACTTTTTAATACAAAGAATTGTTTTCTTGTGTCATATACATTAGTTTAAACATATTTTATTGCATTAAATTCATGTTTACTAACATATTATACAAATAATGAGTATATATCAAAATGCAAATGGGTAAGGCAACAAGTTCTTACAACATTAGATTAAGCCCTCCCCAGTGTCATATACATTGTATGTATCATTGACTTAATCGTATTAAAGGAACTCCTCTGAGGCCCAAACGCAGACAATACTCCACTGAGGCTAAAATCATAACATTTGATGTTTTGACATAGATCAAGTGACACGCCTAGTAGAACATCTACACAAGATAAACAAGAAACATACTGTTCGAGATCACTGACGAATTTTCGACATAGCTATGTCTATGTGAAATGTGTTTTTGTTTATATGCAAACATTAGTTCTACCGCGATCAAGCTGTTATAATTTTGTAACAAAGTTAAACATTCAAGGTACCGGTCAGAGACAAACCAGAGATAAAATTATGTCAGAAAGGGCACACACCTACCGGACCATTTTTAATGCTTTTGAAAAAAGATAGTGTTCATGATACCATGAATTACTTTATTACTTCTTCCTTTCACGACGGGCTGGAACAGGTGAATTTAATTCACACACCATTAAAACAGCACACCTCTAGATTCATGCATGTCCGCCGAAATCTAGACAAATTTAGTATTTTATATGAGTTCTCTAATATACTATATAGAATATCTGTTTTGTTACCTTCTCTCACAAAATAAAATTTAATCAAATTTAATACATAGGTTTACCTGAACCGGGCTAGAAAAAGTCGCTCAATCTACTATTGATATCGCGTTAACAAACATATAAATATTAACAAATGAAATTAACACATTTCGGCCAATTAGGACAAAGAAGATAGTTTCCTCTAAACCAATCGAAAGTCTTGTAACAAACTTTGCCGAAACACATTCCAGCAGACTTTTATAAGGTAACATTTTTATGCATTTTGTTTTTTATTAATAATGAAATTAATGATTTTCTTTTACTAGAATGACATGTTATAAGAGACGGTACTCTTTATGAACATCTGGGCCATTTTTGTAATAAACATTATGAAGCGTTCTAGTTCTCTTTATTTAAGCACACTTTTATCAAGGTTAATTTTCTTAAATATATTTTGTTCATCTGGAGGCATGTTGTCTTAAATGCAGTAGACTGTATATTCAGCTCAACTTAACCTCGGTAAATATGTATAATGTTGGGCTAACAAATAAACGAGAAATAAAATAAGTCGGACATTTCTCAATACTATTTATTTGAGAATATGTTTGCAAGGTACATGGTCATATCTACAATACTGTTCAATCAGAGAGCACTAAATCAGAATGTAACAAAAGTTTGAATGCAGATAATTACGTTACACTTACGAATGATGCTTATCAATTGGATTTTACAGTGCCGTTTTCTAGGAACTTCAATATACTTGTTTTGTTTTTGTTCGAGTTATCTCAAGAGTGAAACACATGCATAACTTTATTCTAATTCAAAACAAACCAATTGTTAAAATAATTTATTTGTATAATTTCACATCAGATTTTAGCGTGTAGTAGATATAGAAGTTTTCACAATCACTTTTAAACGCATATAACCTCACAATATCACCTCCCATCTCTTGGTGGACATATTGAAGACGGAAACAAGATATGACACTTCAGGCAGTTCATCAAAAAGTCGATTTATTCCGCTTTATTTATTCAAACACCCTTGCCTTCCGATAAATTTTTTATAAGCATTTACGACATTTCTCAATTTTCCTTTCATTTCGATCAAAAGAGTGGAACCCATAGCGGGGTACACATACCTACAATACAAAAAAGAATAATTTGTCAATCAGAAAAAGCAGGCCTTTTATGTACACTTAATGATTGAAGAAAAAAACAACATGTGTAGATGTTGCTAAATATATGACATCATATGATATTTGTAGAACTGTAAAAGTCATTTTTGAAATTGATTTGATTTTCTGAGCTCCTATTTACAATTGCTCTTTTTAGGTTTCGGATACTAGTGTTGTATCCCTTATTATTGTATTTCCATTTTTATCTAATAACGTCGGTTAAGTTGCTTTAACCAATACATCTTGAGAGCGAATGCTTTTGCGAAGAGCTATCTAAAATGTACCTTGAAAACATTAACTGTTCAATGCTAAGGGAAAGACAGCCGTCTATAAAAATTAAAATGAATTTATTTCACTTATTTGGTCTTTATAAGGCTAGAAAAAAGCATTGTAACTAATTTGTCGGAAAGTGGCTACCATGAACACACATTTGGATTTATATTACATGCAAGTTAAAACGGGATTTATCCCCTACTATGCTTGCTATTTCGTTACCAAATTGAAACTTACTCGTCGTTTTCATCTGTATCTTTTCCTCTAAAGCCGTCTTTTCCGATGATGAGGTATTGTTTACCTCTCTCCAGCTCTGGAAAATGACAATTTGATTTCCAAAACAACGTCAATTCGTCGCCTTTTGCATGTTTGTTGGCACCTTTATTATAAAATATTTGAAATATTTAGCATAGTACAAAAACATAATTTATTAAATGAGTTTACATATTATTGTCTGAGTAAAGATCAAACTTGTATTTTGACATAGTATACTTTAACACAAGCATAAGAATCCTTCGAAAGTTCACAAATGATTGCTTACTTACCTGGGTGTATACTAGTAGTGACTTCAGTTAATGCCCTTTTATTTTTAGAATCAGGATCGTTCCATATATCTGTAACTTTGATTATATCGGCTGTAAACAAAGAAAATATAATCAGTGTTATCTGAAATTGATCATTTGATTTTTTTTACATATCTAACACTTTATACATTAACATAGAATAACGTATAAATAATCATTATTGTCTTATCAATAATACCACAGTTTATGTTGTACTTTATAGCTACGGTTGTCCTTGATTGCAAATACATGTATATCAATAATTTCTTTTTTTATACAAAAAAAAATTATAAAAAAGCAGAAATAGTTCAGATTATATATTCGTTATTATTTCAATAATTTTATATCGTTTTACACGTCATTTGATAAATGTTGCATAAACGTTTCTTTGCTCAATGACAGGTAGATTGATGTTGGGTCATACAACATGTGAAAGTTTCTTCAATTGTAATATCATTTACAAAAACACTGTACCAATGATATCAATTTATCGTCTCAAATACCAAATACATATTGTACTCCATATAGCCTTGTAATTTTTTCAGAGTACATACTGTCTACATGTATATGAAATGCATATCGTTATCCAGTCCAAAAATAATATCAAATCTTTATTGTACTTGAAGCAACAAAGTTTTGTCAAATTGTCAGCAAAATGGTGTGAAATAAGGTCATTATTCATTGCACCGTTTACGATATAGGTTTGACAGTACCCGTCCAACAGAATTAATTATTGGACTCAACAATGTATAATAACATCATAATATCAACTTCTTGTTCGTTTCAACGAATTTCCGTCTACTTTAAATGAGAATAAAAAAACACACTTTTTATTTATTTATTTAACTTTTTTTGGTGAATAAACAAATGTTTGTTTTCGTCTTAATTCAATCTACCTTTTATTAACACAGGTATAAGTTACAGGAATTATAATACAAAGGGTCCGAATAGCTGTATTTTTGAAAACTACACCTTACGTAAGAAGTCTTATTGAAGTGTATCGCTAGCAGCTTCAAGATTCTGCTTGACTTTGATAGGAAAAAATCACTTATGAGTCTTTATCTTTATATTTTGCAAAACAAACTTTATTCTATTCAACTCCTTGAAACGATATTTCTAAAAGAAATGTTGGTTATATTGTTTAAAGATACATTGTTATATAATATTTTCGGAAGGTTTTCTGTCGGACTAAATCATCAAAAGGAAATGTCGTAAAAGATATCCTTTAAGTTGCTCTCATCTATTCTCATGTATAGAAATATTATATAAAGTCTTTAAAAGTATAAAGGTATAAATATCAATAATATTGAATTCAGGCTCTCAATATGCTGTTATGATTTGTGATTTTTTAAGGCACGTTAAGCCTGAGATATATATATCGTAAAACGTACTATTTTGTTTTCCAGTGACTTACTATCCAGAAATTGCTCGTTTTACTTATTATACAGCTGCAAAGAACATTTTACTCTACATATCTTTCAGCAGGATTTAATATGGACTTCTTTGATAAAAGATGTCAATATTATGTTTAGCTTTGTTTCATTTTGGTACAAAATCATACCGTCTCGTGTGGATTACTTAAACTGCATTTGCAATGACAATATTATTCTGTTAAAAACGGAAAGACCGAATGGTCTGATTTTTGCTTCACAAGTTATTAGTTTAGACCTGTACAAAAAAGAAGTCAACGTTCATCTCGAATTAGATATTTCTAGTACAGTCATATAAAAAAACCTCAGTGTCGTCGTACTTTTACACGTATAAACGTCAATCTTTTAAAATATAAATAAAGCGAATCTAATGGTACTATAATAAATCAAACATACCATAGTTTGCTTTATCCACGTTACATGTGTATTGTAACAACTTGATAGCTGGCTTTCGTCGGTTCTTAAGCAAGTTCAATATCTCTTGATCAACTGAGACTGCACAAGAACCTGTGATATAAAATAAAATTATATAAAATATCCCATCGGCATGGAATCGATACCCTCTAGCGCATTGGTCAACAATGAGCACATTTCCATAAATATTTCAGAAATGATATAAAAAACAATGGAAATGAATCATTCGGATGTTAACATTTTCTCTGATTTTTAAAGTCCAAGACATTTACGTGATGAAAATAATATTTTGTTCTATAACAAATTTTTTATCGTTTGCTATTTAAAGCTATGCCGGACTGGATTATGCATCTAATACTTTTCATCAACAACATCTATACATAATTATCTCATGGTTTATTATCATGCATGTTTTTTAATAACTATCAATATAAGTATTTATGCTATATTACAGATCATTTATTACTAACCAGATCACTGTAAGAAAATAGCTAAAATATATACGATTTCAAAATAGCTTTTTCCGCTTACTAACAGTAGAAAAATAAAAGAAATGAAATCAACTGGATTTTTTAAGTGGCTTTTTGAATTTACTCTCACCAAGGTAACATGTTTTGCAAGAGCCTGAACAGAATTTGGCAAAAGGTGGTCAAGGCACAAACACCAGACATGAAAGTGTTGTTAAATTCCCTTGGAAAACGTAGCAAAAAAGTGTGCAGAATGTCCCGCTGTTCGAAGCCAATACTATCTTTGAAAATCTTGTAAGCAGAGTTTTCCGTGGTAAAACCTTATTAAAAACCTGGTTAAAAATGAAAATAACACCAGCAGCAGCAGCAACAACAACAACAACAACAATGAAATATAACTAAACTACTTCAATATTTTACTTACTTTTCAGACATTGACATTGTTTGTTTTTAGAGTCACATTTGTAGTCCACAGCTGCACCTTTGCTAGGACCTGTTCCATATATCTTGCGACAATATTTATCTGCAAGAGATTAATCAATTAAATCATTAGCTAAATTTAAGTTTTTGTAAGTGATGAAATATCTAGAGTTTCTCTTAGAGCAGCATGCCTCCAGATTCATGCGCTAATATTGATGAAAATTTCTTTTGAAAATGTATTTTATAGTAAATATTGAAATGCAATCAAAGAAAGTGATCTATGTACACATTGTAAACAATACTTACAATAAGAAATCATTTATTATCTTCACACATAATATTGTTAAAGAACAGGTTACATGAGGAATAAATCTTTATAGTATTTGTGGTACGGCTAATGACGGCCGAATCGGCATTCAGCAAGTTATGTGAGCCATGGCCATTACTCCCATTCTTAAATAAATATGAATCTTTAATATACATAACTGATTTTGTGAATTATTTCCCCGTGTTAAATTTTATTACAATTATCACTTGAATACAAAAAAAAATATAAATTCGTTAACGAATCAGGAATACAGAAATGAAAGGTATGTCTTTATTATTTGAAACTGTATTTTAACTGTTGCCAAGAAGAGTGGGAAACTTGAACTAGTATGGAAGAAACGTACACTATGAGCGATTAAATACACCCACCGGGATAAATATATTTCATTTTTCAAAAACACTTTCCAAAGTAAAAGAAAAAAAACGAAGTATTTCTATCTTTTCCAGATGTGTTTATGAAGTTAATACTGCTTTGCATTTACTTGCTGTGAAGTTGTTATTATTTAACAGGACATGTTGTAACAATAAATTGCCTTAAAATTAGTTTCTTTATTTTAAATACATACTACATGTGCTAGTAAATTTTGAGACTCCTAGGAGTTTTTGAGTTGCGTGCAAATATGTCAAAACGAATTGACGAAGAGCGTCATGAAGTATTACTTTGATTTGTTAAAGTCTCTGGCGGGATTCAAACCAAAAATGGCAAAAACCAAAAGATTGAATTGGAAAAAACCGACACTAACCACTCAGTACAGATAACTCAAAGAATTATACCTGGATCATAGTAATCGAACACATCTACCGAGACAGGTTGACGTGACATTTTGTCACCTTCAAAATTATCCACGAGTCGGAACACAAAGTCGTTTCTCTTTGACGTCAGCTGTGATATAAATATCCTATATAAATTGTTTGTAGAGAGTGAGTTGTAAAATATGTTATGTTATTTAAAGTAACATTGATGTGATTCGTTTTTAATGTCTGAACAACAGAAAGTAAATGAAATCATTATAGCTGTCTACAAAGTTTATAAAGTTCGGCATTTTACTCCATGCCAATAAGTTCTATCTTGTCAGATTTGTCGGATATGTCTGATCCCCTTTCAAAATTCAAAATTCGTTTTTGTTCAGTCCGCCAATTGTTTTTTCGTTTAGGGACCACACGCCGCTTTTCATGGAATCGAACTTAGTATCACATTGAAGGTTCCATGATAACCGCCATATGAACACATCTTTGGATGTTTGCAAATTCTAATTTTCACCATTTTCATGTTTAAAACTTGAATTCTGCTTAAGCCGGTGCTAGGGGGAATGGGCCGTAGTTTGCACTTGAGAGTACCGTCCATGAACAAATCAAACCGAGCTTGCAACATTTTCAATTTTGTCGTTTTGGACTTTCTCATTTTCTCTATTTCACCTTAAGAGTCTCAGCAGAGCAACGGCTGAATTTTGTCGAGCATTATTATATATGGAAAATGTCGACAACCATTTCGTTTAAAATATACTCTACGAGTTTTTTTATATCTGTACTAAGTAACAACACGGATGTAATATAAATCCGTGGTAACAAGTATCATGGAATTTTTATGGAACATAATTGCATAGTCAAAATAATGGTTATTGCATTAAGTTACATTTCTTTTCATAAAACAGGGTAAGGTTTAGTCTTATTACCAGAGATTTGAAAAACGGTTAAAAATTTGTTGTAATATATATTTACCACAGCATCAATTACTAGTTTTCATATACTGGTGATCTTAAAGTAGCAATAAAGGCTCTGTCTGTCTGGACAGGCTTTTAAAGCATATCATAATCTTCTATCTTTATTTAATAGATTAAAACAGAATTAAGAATTTTTGCTAGTATGGTAGTACCAATTTAATGTATGGCTTAGAGATCTGGGGCGATTTGATTGTATAGAATTTTGATAAATTACTTTTTACATTTTGTAAAAGCAATTTTGGTGTAAAAACGCCGAACATAGTAGTACTTTGAGAACTTGGTAGATTTTCAGTTTTATGTAATTATATTATTGAGTGAAAATAAAGAAATAATCTTTACCACATTTATTTAGCATTTAAAGTGTAAATACAATTTTGAATGAATGAATGAATGAATGAATGAATGAATGAATGAATGAACGAATGAATGAATGAATTAATTAATTAATTAATTAATTAATTAATTAATAAACGAGTCTTATAATGCGATGGCTAATCAAAACCTTACAACCTTCAGACGCAGCCAGGCCGCGACATGGATTTTTTCGTATGTTTTTTTTCTTTTTCTTTCTCTCATTATTGAGAAGACATGGCATTAAATAAAAATCAGATTTTTTACAAAATGATATACCAAACGTTTGAAAAATATTATTGTATGTAATTAAATGCCAATAATCACCGTGTTAAGATAAAACACAACCAATCCGTTACCATTAGTTGGCATCTCAAAGTCATCCATATTGTCGTTGTCTCTGATGATCTGAAGCAATACCCAGTAAAATAATTAAGCTTTACACGTGGTGATTCTGTATATAGAGGTAAAGCCCAAAGTACAACAATAACAACAGTAAGTAAGAAATTTTTGTTTAGATAATAGCTATAAACACACAAACGCTGTTTATAGTCAGTGATACAATTACAAATAATACGGTAAGCAGGTGAGAGAGTATTAACACCATTTGCCAAATGAGAAAAAAATAATGCTATGATTAATTAATTTTTGTGTTTTATTATAGGATTATCACCGTTTACGCAATTATATATAAAAAAATGTTACTTAAATATAAAGATTTTTCCGAACATCAAAAATTGTTTTACCTTTTCCATATCTTCTTTTAGAACTGTGACGTCAGTTTCCAAGTTGAAGTATATCATAGACATCCCATGGTGGTTGCCCGGAAGTGCACTTTAAAGAAAATTTATACAAAACAAACTTAATATCAATTTACATCAGCTATAAAGCTTAATCATAATTTTATTTATATTCTAAAGATATCAAAACGCTTAATCCATTATATTATAATAAACAAAAGTTTAATTAGGTTCGTTTGATTTTGAAATGACTGTACAAAAGCAATTAAAACACAAACTATACCATCCATTTAAGAAACTACTTTGCATATCATAAAATATTATAATAATTATATGATAAAAGTAAAACGTCTCAGTTATCGAAACATAATGCAGTTCGATCTGTATACTACATAACTCATGTATTACTATTCGCAAGCGCACATAAAACTTGTTACATGAATGTTGCATGCTGTTTTTGATACCTCTTTCAGAAAATAAACTTAAGTTATTTCCACTGTTTCTGTATGAAAAGACATCGCTTAGAGAACGTTATTTATACAAATATTTATAGAATGTGCATTCACGCGTCGCAAAATGTCAGGATATACGACAATTATAACAATGACAACAAGTACATTTCTTGTCCACTGAATTTAATTCAACAAATTTCAATAGTTATTTTCATTTTGCATATAGAAATAGAATTTACAATAAATAATGTTTACCGTAAGTAACCAACCTGACACTTGCATATTTAAAAGATATACTCAGTAAAGTTAAAGAGGAAAACCTGAATGTACCCCCAACAAACCTAAAATTGAATATTATTCCAGGCTCGATTTGATAAAGCCTCTTCATAAACGGTAGCGATATATTCAAGCTAACGTCTAAGCAACAACAAGCACAATTCTAGCATAATTAAACTAATTCAATTAAGTTTGACAATGGTATCATTTGAAATTATTAATGAACATCGGCAGATAAGTTCATATAGCGGTATACATGGTAGAATCAATATGTCTTGTCGGTTCTGATTCTTGCAATATTTTACGACAATGAATTCAATTCAAACCTATTTCCTGATTTATAAAAATAACTCACCTTACACTAAATCGAATACACTTCATGTTATCTTCAAGATTGGCTTGAGCTTGCCTTTTTTTCCTCCCAAAATTCGGTATATTTACATTAACAGGAGCCTTTGTTGTGAGCGAATTATAGTTCGGTACTATAGGATTAGCATAACATTTGCCGCACACGTCACATTTCCTTTAATGAAAAAAAGAAAGTTTGCAGACGGAGCAGCGTCAAGGAGGTGTGGATTACGGAGGAGGTGACGAGAGTTAGTGTATAAATGAAGAGACCACAGACGGAGTTGAGTGAGGATGTGTTTTAGAGAATGGATCACAGACAATAGGATATTGGAGAGGTTATTAGAGAACGGTTAACATACGGAGGATAATTAAACAGGGTGTATTTGATCAAAGATGGATGGAATCAAGGACGATTTAAAGGAATGGAGTACAATCGAAGAGAGGTGAAAGACTAAGAAAGGGCTCAAGTAAAGGTATCACGGGTGTGAGGGACAAGAGAAGGATCACAGATGGAGAGAAGTGGGTGAGGTGTAGGGAAATGAGGAAAATGATCACAGAAGAAAGTTTTGTTCACAATAATACAGAGGACGATTCCGTATATCAAAACAGAAACATAAAAGCCATTTCAAAAGACTATATACAGAGAGCAACAAGGATAAGCATTACCTGTATGTATGTATCAGAACACCTCTAAATTTAAACGAATTAAAAATGTACCAATCGTTACTGTTCACACGGACGAGTGTCAGATAAATAATATCAACGATGAAATAATGATAAACGCGTTTAATATATAATTCTTTGAACTGCATGAGGAAATGAAACCCGAATAAAATGCAATATTTTACATATTGAACAGCTAAATTTTGTGCGTCCAGTACTGTGATTCAATATATAATCAGTCAAACTATACGAAATGAAACTTTTAGTTCGAGAGCAGTCAGACGTTTCTGCCTTGTATAAAACGGGGTATACTACTAGTATATAGCCTCTTAAATGATCATTATGTCCAGTGCATTTCATATATTTAGAAAAGAATTTCCATGTTGCATTGAGTAAGACATACAGGAGTGATACAAATGAAACTTGAATATACTTTCGACAAACTTTAGATTGGGACATACATTCAAGGTCGATTTTTTATTCCCTGCATATGGATTGATACCCACAAAATACTTACAAGAGACTCAGCGATGAAGAATGATTATTTTACAAGCTTACTGATTTTTGTTTTAAATTGACTCAAGACATTTTATTTTATTCCAAAAATTAAAGGAGCAAATGCTCAACAACCCTAAAATAGTATTCCCGTATCAACACGGTGCTTGTCAAAACAAGCTGCTATAACTATAATTCTATAATATTAATATTGAATTTATATATAAATATTTGACGGTTAAGTTATAAACGAGTAAGCTATTTTAAGAAGTAGCATAAAGAAGAAAAGAAGTAGAAATAACAAATAGAAATAGGGTATAAAGTTACCGGCCAAACTTTGAGAACGCAAAACATTTTCTTGCAAAATGATGCTTAAAATTGCCAATAAATTATAAGTCATGTTACTACATAGTGAAGCTTTACCCGAGTATGGATATGTTTCGATCACTCACGGGCTTGTATACGTCGCCCACATCAATGCTTGATATATCAAACGGGCAAGTTTCGTTGCTCTTAGCAGGTCGGTTATAACGTAGTTCAATCCTCATTCTTCCACTTCCAGATGTACCAGTCACCAACACGTTCAATTTACTGTCACCCTTTTCAACTGGCAACTTTAATAAAAAATTAAACAGTGTTTTATTCAAAAAAATGCAAATAAGACACAAACAAGCAGAGAAAAACAAATTAGAAAGTCAATTTTTACAATTTACAGCTCCAAAGCTTTCACTTTCGGAAAATAAAAAATACAAAAAAATCGTATCTAGAGACAAAATTAGCAAAACGTCACTTATGTCTTAACATACGCAAGTACCGTTCTTCAGCAACATACTATGGCCACCTTTGACTCATTTAGTATCTGTATACATGAGTAAGCAATGGCCATAGATGCAGTGAACGCATTTAATGAAAGTCATATCAACGATTCTTGAATGTTCGTCTTTTGCATTATTGAGCAAATATTATTTTATATGCATTCATAGAGGCGTCCATGGCCGCTTTCCTATGCACACGAATCCAGTCTGGGACTGTTATCCAGCTAGCTTACAGAACCTTGTCGGTTGTACTAACGTATCCGTTCGCCTTCACCAATAAAGATGGAAGCTCGCCATAGTACATTCAATGTGTTGGTGCAACATTTAACCCAAACCAACCAAATAAATAAATATACTAATAGATACAAGAGATTTATATTTGGTAATCATTGTTAATGTACATGAATTATGTAGCGGAAGATGAATATTTCATTCGCTTTATTCTTTATAATACCGCAAGACGATTTGAATAAAAATAAGTTTAATACATAATACCTTGTCAGCAATTTTTTGTAGTTTAAACTTTTCATTTTTTAAAGGTAATTGTTGTCCGTGCCAATCATTTGCGGTAAACGACACTTTCAGGTCTACAGACGGCGAGAACGTCCTGATGCTGTACTGGGAAAGTGCTTGCAGACCAACCACAGTGTCCTATCAAATTAAAATAGTGAAGAAAAAAATGTAAGTTTTAAATGAAAAGTGTTCGAATTTACGTTTATACTTGCTTACTACAACTTTGATAACTTCTTAACACAAATAAAAACACATAAATACGCAATATATGTATTATGTTATAGAATATATAGAACAATGTAGTGTTCACTATCTAATGTTTAAGAAGTCAGGTATTTCAATAGATAGTAAAGAGCTGAAAAAAAATTTAGGAGTGTCTCGGATTCTAGTCCTGATCAGCCTGGAGTGCACATTTTTCTCATCCAATGAAATTAAATCGAATCACAATTTCCTTAAACTTTATATTATAAGTATAAGAACTATTATTTTTGCCTTTTCCCTTTATTTCTGCCGACTTTACATAACTCTTCACATTCCAAATGTCTCTTTCCGTTTGAACTTTAAATACCTGTGTGCTTTTAAAAACGCCTTGTGCATTTTGTTGAGACGTAAGCCATCGTACAATATGAGCAGCCTTCGCCATGTCATTAAACTTCAACATTGCCAAAAGAGCGTAAGCCGTTGTTTCAACAGCATAAGCATCTGTCGCACTATTGCCAGGTTTTGCCCAGTAAATATTTTCTGCAATTGAAATTGAAAAGCATATAAAACAATGACCAAACACAAAGTTTTAAAGTGTAAAGTTATCCTACTTTTTTAATTTCTTGTTTTGTATCACTAATGACCTTCTATTACAATTTTGTTTGACTTTTCTAAAGCGAGTTCAATAAAATGTTTCTATAGGAAAGATGATGCATCTGTCTTGTGGGATACAATGTGGCACAGTTACTAAGTCTACCTTAAAGTTGCACGCCTCCAGATGAGCCAAAACATTAAAAGAAATTCAATCTTTAGAAAAATGTATTAAGATCTTGAGAAAAGTAAAAAGATTCAATATTTGATTAATTATTTACATGATATGTGCGATTTATGACTGATTTTGCAATATCAATCACTATGATTTACTGCATTACTAACGCAGTAAGAGGTATTTATGTATGTTTTGATCTCTTTTTGATAATTTACGTAGTTTGAAATGTAAATTACTTTCTTTGTTCACTTCAAAATATTTTACTTTTAAATACATATTCAAAATTTTTAATGAAAATAAGCATGAATCTGGAGGCAAGCTGCTTTAAAGGTTTAGATAAATACAACAATAACAACATTTAACAACAACCATTAGAAATACCCATTCATTGGCTTACGAGGCAAAGTTGGTTTAAGATAATTGATTTTATATATAAAAACGGGCAAAATAATAAGCTAGCATTTTTTTCCAAATTAATGAAAACGCAGAGCCTAAATTTTATACAAAACGTAAAAGAAATATGCATTAATTCAATTTTGAAGATGATCCATGCATTGATTTATGAGTAAAGGAAAATGAAATATAATTTTGTTAAAGTTTAAAAAAGAAAATAAATATTTTATTCTTTTTTTTTTAAAAAATAAAAAAAAAAATTTATATTTTAAAGATCCCACATAAAAATTTGTTTATAAATAAATTTTTAAGGTTAATTAAAAAAAAATTTAAATTTAAATTTTAAATAAAAGTTTAAAGTTTCACGTTCAAGACACATCATTCAGGATCAACAGAGCAAACATACTTATCCCTTTTGTAAAACAAAATCAACATAAAACCTGTATCGGGAAAATTTTCACCCCATAAAATATTTTGGGTTATTGGGGTTTTGAAATTTGGGGCTTCGTAAATTTTTTATTTAAAAAACCGAAAACTAACGGCAAAACTAAATTTGAATTTCAATCATCTATTAAATTTAATAAAGGTGCCTCATGCTGTGTACAGGCGATCCTAAAAATTTTAACAGAAAAACCCCTTTTTTTAAAGCCGTAACTAAAAAAAAGCAACAAAAATTCCCTTAAAAAAATCGCGAAGAAAATTAATTTCATGGAAATCTCACTAACCATGCTTCCCGCAAACAAATTTTTGAGTCCCAAATTTTTTATTCATTTTTTACCCCCATTTTCCCCCCCCCCCCTTAAAATTGCATTTTAGTTTTAAAAAAAATTATTACATTTTTTTTTAAAATCAAAAGGGAAATTTTGATTTAAAAGGGAATTTTAAAAAAAAAAAATTTATAATATTTACACAAACCCAGGAAATTTTGCAAGTAAATTTTCGAAATTCTTTTTAATCGTCGTAACCGGTTCAAAAGAATTTTAATACAAACCCTTTTAGAAGAAAACCCCAATCGAACGCAAACGTATCAAAAAGGCGATCTGTCATATTTTATTTCATATATTTATTGAAAAGCTGTTAGAAACATCTAGAAAATATCATTATTTTGTTTTTAAATTTATTCTGACATATCTTTTTCCAACTCTTCTTGCCATCACGCAATCGAACATACCTCTACCTATAACGGAAGCTCTTCTAAAGTATTATTCGAACAGGCTATTATTGTTAAAATGACCAATGAAAATTCTGCCTATATTCATTTCTTTACTGTTAATTTTAGCAAAAGTCAAGGTGAAATCAGACGGCCTTCGGCCGAAAAAAAACGTTGCATATGCGCAATAACTTGAAAATCTATTCAATCATGTAAAATTTCATTCAAAATGCATAAATAGTACATGTATAATAGAAGTAGTCCGGACAAATTTATTTATAAAGTATTAAAGGTCGTATCTTGTTTAAAATCATAAAACCTGTTCTATTAGACTTGGTACTGATGATACCTGAGTGTAAAGTTTAGATGAAATACTTGTTGAGGGATAAGTTGTGTGTAGGTAACAAAACTAGTTAACACAATTTAATTGTAGATCGATTGCTCAGCAAATACTTGTTAAGGGATAAGTTGTGTGTAGGTAACAAAACTAGTTAACACAATTTTATTGTAGGTCGATTGCTCAGCACAAATTTATTTAACCGAAGGACCAGTTTAAATAGGCAATTAATTAAGGTACCGAGTAATATTAGTCTGGACCAATAGAAAGTAAAAAAAATATCTGATCAGAAACTACTTACAGTAGTTAAATGCATTGTTAACGCTTTGACAATCATAAAAGTAAATGCTATTATCAACAAAATAATTATTCTATGGTTTTTTCCTTTCCATGATTTCTCGAATTAATCTTAAAATATTCAGATGTGGTTATATGGTTACACTTGATAAATTAAATTTTGACACATGGCAACACTTTTTATTGTATTACTCCCCATTTAACAAAATCGACACAAACATTTTTTTAAATTCACATGTTTCATTTTTAGAAAAGAAAGGTATGGGGTTTTTGCAAGATAAACGTCGGGTTTTCACCCAAGTTTCAAATTTTCAGATACTTTGTTCCAATCAATATATGATTTTAAACTCTGAAAGAAAAGGGTTAAAAGATACGTGAAAACATTCATGAAAAAATTTCAAAGGGAAACTTTAAAATGACTCAAAAGGCCATACCATAATTTCCTAAAAAACAGCCAATCAACAACCGAACGACGTTACAAAAGTTTAAATGTCTCATGCCATAAAAACGTGCCAATGTTTTTTTCCCTTGAGGGCCCTTTTCTTTTTATACCCCAATAAATTTTTTTCCCCGGGAAAAAAACTGGTAATGTTCAAATTCTCATTGACGAAGCTAAAAAAGTAATAGAACCTTAACTTAATTGACAATTTCACACGAGCAAAAAATGAAGGTTTATAAACATAACATAGTTTTTGAAATCTAGGTAACTAACAGAAGGATATGACTAACCGTATAAAAGGTGATGATTAAGGTATGCGTATAATTAACCAGTCGCTCCGGAGGCTTCAATGATAAGTCGGTCTATTTTACACAAAATTTGTAATGCCATTCTCGATCTTTTGCACCAGTTATTTTTGAATCACCTATATTAAATTTGTACACAATCAAATTTATATGATATAGAAATATGAAAATTGTGATTATAACGACGACGATGATAATGGTCATGGTTGGCCAAGTTGTGGTGCTAGAGATATGAATGGTGATGAATAATGATGATGATAATGAAACTAAAATGTTTTTTTATACCGACTGCATTACATTACACCCAACAGACTTATTAAAACAAAAAGGCTGAGTGAAGGAGTAAATGTCCTGCTTCTGTAGCTCCCTATAAATAAAAGAAAAGTTTGGATTAAATATCAGTCAAAAAGAAAATAAATTTAATGATACTCTATACTTTAAGTAATAGCATTATAATATCTCAGTTTCATAGTTTGCACCATGGACCATTTTGTCATAGGACAATACGCGTTTATAACTACCAAAAGGTTTCAAAATGATCATCAATGTTCTGATCTTTAAAATCATTGATTTAATTGTAACAAAAAAAGTAAAAACTGTTTCAGGGAAATTTGAAACCTACTAGTAGACATTGCAATACGGTTTGTCATGTTTTATCAAAAAGTGCCATCACGTAAATTAATAGCTTCAAATTTTCTTTTCTGCAGCTAGTTTTAAAATTGATTACCTTTAACCATGAACCCTGATTCTTGTGTCTTGTATCTCCTTAAATTCCCCTTTCGCGTTCATGTGATTTTTCAAAAAGGTTATGGTTGGATGAAGATCATTTTTCTCTTCTAGAAGATCATCGACAACAGTGTTAGCATGACAGAATACTTTGGCTACAAACGCTGTCAACCTTCATGAATTAAACATGATTATAAATATGATAAATGGCATATCATACACGTCAGAAATTCAATGTCTGTTAACCATGTAGACATAACAACTTTACAAACCAATTCTTTATGTATCGAACATTACTGTAGGAGCAATAATCAAACTAAATGAAAGAATGAAACATTATCAATTATAATTGCTTACATTTCCCAAAGAAGCAATGTCGTAATTTTTTCGGTGATTGCGATACAATGGTTGAAATGAATTCTGTTTGACTGATATATACTCATATCATTTTTGAACCATTGTCTCGCCATAATAAATATATCAGTGTAGTTATAAATTAAATTTGAAATTAGATATATAAGTATGTTTTTTTAAATCAAAAGTTCATAGTTTGCTTCCATGTCTAATCTCCTCAGCAGATATACATGCATTTGTACAATTCCTTTAAAATTACTTAAACACATATCAAAACTTGAAAATATACTTGTAAAAATGTTTAAATCAAATCAAAATGTCAAAACAAAGCCGATCAATTCATTGTTACCTTTGTTATACATATTATCATAGCATCTTATCATTCATATAAAAAATGCAATAATTTGAATAATAGATTCTCAATAATTCAAAACGTAAGAAAAATAATGTGAAAGTCACTCACCCATATATGGTAGAATGAAAAAAAAATAAATGAAATAAAATTTCAAATAAAAGGTAAATACTAGTTTTAAAATTAATTAAGTTTAATATATAAATTCATTACTAATTTATTGGCATCTATATTCCAGAAAGATTGTTGGCAAAAGCGTCAATATATCTTGTTTCTTTGCATACTTTACTTTGAAGCGTTTATAGCGCTGCAGCCATTATAAATAGGAAATACAATTAATTCATCATGGTCGTATATCAATGTTTGTTAATGAGTAGGCCCTTATCATATTTCAAGCTGAAGTTTAGGTCGATATGCTATATATGATACAATTAATCAATAATTATTATGATATTTTGTGCCACAAATTACTACAAATCAGTTTATTCGTTTCACTTTATGCTTAATACACAATCCCGGATTCTGTACGTTCTGAATCACAGGTCGCGATATTGTCCTGTAATATCACGTGGTACTAGAAATAACCCAAATGCAAAAAATCCGTTGTATAATAAAAGTATACCCCGTCGGCGGAAAAGCAATCAAAAGTGTTAAGATAAGAACATTTTAAAATGTCATTCAATTTCATTGTTTTAGAAGAGAGATTTTGAAATATTAGTAAGACGGTAGATTTTCTGTTGTGTCACTACGGTATGGAAATAGACTCAGCACGCTGTAGTTTAGAAAATAGTTATGTAAAATCTGAACCGGCCCATTTTAAGTCATCCCTTGTTAATATTTTCAATTGTGGCATTTCGGAGTTCTTAACAGTTGCACCTTTGCAGAATTTTATTTCTGAGTAGAAGGAATCAGGAAGAAGTATGCACCAGAGCACATCCCAGTTGTTATCAAGATTATTTTATAGTGATTACACAATTTAAATTGCTTACGGACTAAAGTATTATTTTCTGTTCTAAATTCAGTTGAATAGTATTGTTGTTTAAAGCCAAGACAATCATATGCTGAGACTAATTACTGAGTCCAAACTTAAGTCTCATATGTGATTGATTTACTACAGGATAGATGGGGCGGATTTAAGTAGGATTTCTCCTTCTGGAGGCACGCTGCTTTAAAAACAAGATATTTTTAATAATCATCACATCTTAAAAACGTGTTCAAGTTATATTTTTAATCACTAGGTTTAGCATTAAAGTTTCTTTCAAATTTGTGGAAGATTATTATAAACGACCCTATTCCATCATATCAATAACCTAGTTGATAATGTTAATAGATTTCTTACCGCAATGCATGTAAGTATAACCAACAGATTGCACCAAAATAACTTATTTCAAACATTGCATTGTGATATTTCAAGAAATGCGATGGCCTTTACTTATTTTTGAGCCACTGGCCATTCGTTAAGTTAAGCTTCGTCCGCAAAATGTATAACAAACACGCTTAAAATATTTATATCTGTAAAATAGTTGTGTAAGTCCCGCTATGATCCGATCATGTGACATCCTCAGTGACAATTGTTCTTAGAGGATATTTATGTATTTCATATATATGGAGGATATTTGTTTGTTTGTGTGTAAAATTATTTTTTTTTCATCGAGTGGGCTTTTAAAACAGTATTCTCACGAGTGGCGTAGCCACGAGTGAGAATACTGTTTTTAAAGTTCACGAGATGAAATAAAATTACATCTCACAAAACAAACAATCAGATTTTCTTTTTATTTTATGCTTTAAAATAAGTTAAAACGAAACTTCTTTAATATAAACGTTAATATTAAAATCTTTTTTCCCCATTGAGAGTTTCATTTAGTCGAATTTCTAATTAAATACAAGAAGCCTTGGTTCGACAATCAACGGTAAATGGTGGTGATTTTATTCATTTTATTACAAAAATATGAATGATCGCTTGTTTTAATAATAATAACAAACAATTCTAGTAGAAGAAAAAGTCCAATCATCCATCCATACTTCTGTTACTTACAACGAATTTATATTAGACCTGGCTTTTTAGATGTAAGCGGCCGCCATTTTTAAAAGTTGTGTATTTCATGGGAGAAAAATAACAGTGTTTGATTCAGAGGGATATCATTTGGATTTGTTAGTCATACACCTTTTTTAAAGAAAGAAAACATATTTGAGGATTGTAATACACAATAAATAAATGTTGACAGAAGTGTAAACATTCAAAAAGCGGCTAGGAAATTAGAAAACTTGGAAAGTTAAATGGCTGCCTAACGAAAGCTGGGTTGTTTACTTATTCTTCGGGCTGTTGCCTATCATTGCTTTTCAAGTTTTCATAAAGCATACGGCAGTTATTGCTCGTACTATACTTAAATATGCCCAAATATCATTAAGAGCAGTTTTGCATGTGGAAGGGAAGGAATGTAATTTTCAGAGTTTTAAATTGAAAAAAAAGAGAGACGATATTTGGTGATTGGTAATTTAAATGAGTTTTCCTCTTTTTATTACTTTTAGCTTTGCTTTTCTCTGAACAGCCTGACATTGTCAGACATTGCCAGAATTGTCAGCAATAATAGCATTTAGGTACCACATGGGGAATATCTTCAAAAAAAGTAGTTTCGTCATTGGAAAGAGAGAAATTATATTTTGATAATTTTCACTGTGAAATTATCAAATATAATTTTCACGGATCAGTAATCCACTGAAAAGCATTAAACAAATCATGATATTAAACTTACCAAACACTTGTTGCTCTGTAAATGCCAGTATGTTTGTCATTATTACAACAGGAGTAGGAGCCATCTGAATGTCGGAACATGCTCTTCTCTCTATTTACACCTACAAAGAAAGATTCGCGTTGATGAAGAACAGTGTTGTACGACGCTAGGATGCAAAAGAAACTATTGCTTGTTTGATTTTATTGAAAGGCGAAACTTTTGTGAAGGCTTGCGTCCGTCCATTCCGTTAAGGAAAAAAATATAAACATAAAAGAATAACTGATGTATCAGAAACATTCATATAGAACATGTGGCATCTGGTTATTAAATAGCAGATTTAAACAACTTTGTGGTCGCTACAGAATAACAAGATACTAAAAACTTGATATACATAAATGTGCAGGTAATGATGTCTATCTGTATTCAGTCTTTCATACGAGTATGTAAAGATAGTTTCTTAAGCTTCTTTCTCAATCCGTTCAAATTGCTATTACTAATTTGGCATGTAAATGAAATTATTATTAACAAAAGTATGTTAAAACAACTAGAGCCGGGAGAAAACATAAGGTAACTTTGCATTTAAAGAATGTATTCCTACCATCTCGAATATGAGTATTGCCGGTGACCTCATGATCTGCAGTGACCTGATTGGTTTGCTTCAGATACATCATGGCGTACACATTTGGGGCGGTTGTGGCAATCGTCTGCTCTCCACAACCATGTGGACATTCGAATAAGCTATCAACGCCGCTAAGTATAGTTTGCACTACGTTATCCATGATATTTGCTTTAATGAATTATGTAATAAATTAACGCAGTGTATAGTTTAATGTAAAATATGCATATACAAAACAACTGCGAGATTTACAACGGTATGTTGAATTATCATAAATTATATCATATAGGAATTTCTTTAATTATTGAACCCCCTTATCTCGTTTACAGATGAAAACAAAATTGGTTATGCAACTCAATAGAACAATAGAAAATATAATTTCTGTGACATAAGAACACATTGTAGAAACTAGGACTAAGTCAAGAAGTTTATGCTTTTTATATTGATAAAGGCATATTAATATATCTTTTATTTAATTTGGTATCCCATATAAATATTTAAAGACGAATATTTTAGGCAGACTAATGATTTCAACATTCTGTCAAGATAATTTCGTGGTTGTCTTATTATTATCATTATTATTTACGGTTTCTACCCTATATTATGATCAACAATAAAATGCAACGTTCAACTAACGTACATGTATTATCTATTATTGCAATTTACATGACTTTACATGCCATATTCTGAAGTTTATTTCTAAAAGTATTTTAAATGAAATTATAAAAGGACATGATTCCATTCCCATAATTTTTATGCGGGTTACTATAAATTTTGTATGGTTTGTTCTCACAATTCGTCATTATAAACAACGTACCTTGTAAATATGCTGTAGCCGATCCGGTGCCTTGGATTGCTATATTTGGTAATGAAAGGTCGACTATAGATACTTGCTGTGCATGTCCAGTGTCGGAATATTCAAATCCTGTGAAATAAAACATCCTTAAAAATTTTGTCTTGTGAAATAGGTTTAATCAGAAAAATGAAGCCTAAACTTGCAGAATTTGTGTTATTGATTTGTTCTTCATTAAACTTTAAACAATCAATTAATGCTTTATTCCAAAACGAGTAGGCGGGAAAAGCTAATGGATTTCAAAATATCTACTAAAATAAAGATTATATCATTATATTTTGTATTTTAAAATAATAAAAGTGTAAAAGTGGCACTAGAAATGTCTAAAAGTATTGCATGTCAATAGTTAATATTTTACTTGCCGCCCTAAAGGGAACCTTATTATTCAACAGAAAATGTTACTTATTCTGACTTGTCTTAACTCTGTCGCTATCTTCACAGTCTTCACGTTGCTTGTTTGGATCTAGACAAGCTTGAATTGTTATAATTTCCTGAATACCCTCGTTCTGTAAATAAAAATGTGTGTGTATTATGACGTCTTCTCTAAGACTTCTTCTCTGTTTGTGTGAAATGAGCATAAAGGTATGTAATCAACAATATGCATACACAGTAGAATCCCTATTTAAGACCAGTCCAGAATTAAGACCACCCGCTATTAGGACCACGTTTTATAGGAACGTGATTTTCTGTTCTTTATGTCAATGGTTACATGATCTAGAGTAAAGATCTCCTCACTTGTACTCTTTTAAGACCACCAGGTTCAGTCCCAATTCTTTGTTTTGTTCTTTAAATGACCCCACTATTGAGACCACTGACATTAAAATACAACACCTACCCGATCTTAAATTTGTTGTTATGTTGTTATTATCTGCTTGAATGCTCTTAGGCATGTCACTTGATTTCACTAGTTGTCAAAACTGTTATTATTGGGATATTGCATGAAATAAGGTGAAAAAGTAAATTTTGGAGTAATTTAACATTGCCTAATTTAATCAAGAGAATCTTTCTTTTGTCGAGGGACAACAGTGCTGATGGTTTACTATCATTCCAAGACAACTGGAAAACAATACTGCAACAAAAGAATAAATATAAATTATTGTTACTCACATGATAGCATTATGAAAGCTTTAATAAAACATACCACAACAAAGAGTAATTTTTTGATTCTGTCAACCATTGGCATTCCCTCCTCGTGGACGATGGCTACAACTTCCACCTGAAATTTTCCCGCTTTCAATGGTATCAAAGGAAATCGGACAGTTGTGGCACTGTTTGGACCTACTTCGATTACTTTTCTTGGCGAGGGCTTATCCGGTGCTGTACCATGACATAAACCATTCGTTGCTATTAAGTACATGTTTGCCTTGAATGTAACACACGAGAAAATGTTCAATGAAATTAAAATTGCAAGTTCACCTTTAAAATAGATCCAACTTCAATATCAAATCATTTAACTAACCACGTTGACATGTAAGTAGTGTGTTTATAGGGGTCCTGTTTTGGTGCTCGCTGCTCTGATTTCATAATGTAATTATGACGTAATCTACTGTAAGGTAATTATCTATAGTACAATAGTCTATTGTAGATAATTATGTAATAGTCGATAGATAATGATCTATAGTACAATAGTCTATTGTAGATAATTATCTCTATTGTGTAGATAATAATCTATAGTACACTAGTGAATGTATACTTTATTGTAGTGATTAGATAATTGAATCTTATTACTATTATTATTATGGTATTGATTTGACGTCTCAATTAGAGACTAATGTTTGGTAAATCACTGGGGGCGGGCAAGCAGTAAACGAAAAACAAAATGGCGGCGACGAACGAAAATGAGTTACATGACCGGGCACATTCGTTGTTTTCAGTCGCCGCCATTACAACCAAAATGCAATACTAACTCCGCCTTCTTTTCTCTGTCTACATTTTTAGTATAGTATTTTGTGCATAATACTGAAATTAATTAACAATGGACAAACCAAATATTATGCATTTACAACAATGAGCACAAAAACAACAGCAACAACACCAAAGTGTATGTATACTGGAGTTATCTTTACAATTAAAGTATGCAAATTGCGTTGTAGATATCCTAGAATCTACACCATATCGAACTTGTAACGGGTGCAAAGAAGGTTGGCTATCACAACGGGACCATTCCTGTTTAAACGTTAACGTGAAGGAGAGTAAACTGTATGCTTACGTTAACGAAATAATTAATAAGGTTGACGACGAAAATCTGTTGTTTGAATGGGAGGAAGAAATGAAAGGTTCTGGTCATGTGACTGCTGGTATCATTGACTTGTTCTTGTTAAAGTATAAATGTAAATATAATAGAGATACTCTGATGAAGAACAGCTTAGTTTGGAAGAGAAACATTTTAAGAGCGGCTCGGACCATCATTCAGGTGCTTGCAGGATAAAAGCAGGACTTCAGCTTCCATCTCACAAACATGACATCGTGTACAATTCAATACAAGACTAGGCAGAGTGACCACCAAATAAATGAGGGAGATGCATTGATAAAGTTTATAAGTCCGGCAACTATACTGTTAGTAAGTGATTCTTATATAAACGTGTCTTTTTGTTATGATTATAGTAATGATGGTGTTGATAAATAATGTTGATGATGATGATGATGATGATGATGAATGATGATTTTTTTAAGAATTATTCTTTTATTATAATATATTATATTATATATTTAGTCGACTCTCGTTAACTCGAAGTCATCGGGACCGTCCAAAAAATATCGAGATAACGAAATGTCGAGACAAACAAATTAGTGTTTGAATAAGGCAGGAACTGATTTTTACAAAAGACAAGTGCATACCTTATGTCAAATAATCTAATATCCCCATGTCTTGTTTTTCATAGGCCTGGTCAATATTTCACAAAGTAACATTAGCGGATGTTTACCAGCGGAAATACGGGTGTTTGTGATAAAAACGCATAGTGAGGTTTACTCAGTAATACACCAATATAGTGAAAACATTGTTTTCAGGGTGGTTGATCCGGATATCCTCCCGTGTTATTTTTCGGGTCTTTCTCGAGATTGTTCGACCGCTGATTGATTTGGTGGTGATGTTGTGAAACAATATTGCAACGATAGCGTTTCTATACTTTCACTATTTCATTTACATTTGAAGTCATAATTTATTGATTCAGTGTTCGAATATTTATAAAGAACGTAAAATTCACTCATTTTTGACATAAGTCAATCAACACGCTAAATAGATTAACTTTTATCAAAACAACTAAACTTGTTACAAACAGAATCATCATTATGACACACGCTATTGACCAATTATCGTCTAGTTTGTGTTTTTCACACGTCTGAAGGGAACAGACGAAAGAAAACTATTACTCGAGATAAACAAAGGATAAAAGTGTGAAAATAAGTGTTGGGGCTGAAATTTTACATCGAGATACTGAAAATATTCATACTCGCTTAAAACAACGCAAGCAATATTTTGCTCTAGAGGTGCAGAAAAAGTTTGCCTTAATAGAAAGAGTTCCTGCATGAAGTAGTTAAAATTTAAAACTATCATCCAATGATGAGGAAATGTCAAATACGTAAAGGGCTCTCCCTTAGAAAGCGCAGATTTTTCTATTTCGAGGTTACTTCTATCCCTTGCGCAAATCCCCCCATTGGTGAATTTCTGTGAACTGACATTGGGTAACCGTACATTCGTTCGTACATTTCCAACGTTAAGATCCTAACAGAGCTGATGATTCAACGAATGCTACCACTATTAATCTGGGCACATAGGCAGAATTAATTCGGTCCCATAAAAACACACTTTGACCCCTTGCAATTGTAGCAACCTTTGTTTCTGTCCTAACATACGGGTACTTTGCAGTTGGAGACTTAAGTAAACGCGCATGCGCGACAAGTATCGCTGCATTCAACTGGTACTACTTCCTGAGTCTGATGAATGCATCTTGAACTTTTATTTGATATGACCCCGTATGATCTCCGTCTTCGCCACTTATCAGACAAAATTCTGGCATACTTCTGTGCAAAACTATCCGAATATGGCACCCATTTATGAGGTAGCTGAACAGTTCCAGACAGTCATTCATTGGAAACCCGACAAGATCGAAAATTTTCGAGCCTTTGGTGGCTTCGTGCCGCATAAACAAGCCAAGATCTGCAAATATGGAGAAAAAACAACATGTATTTATTATCATTATTATTATTATTACGCGCAGAGTAGTAGTAGTACCGAATTGTATAAAAATAACAAATATTTGTTAGAAGAAAATGTAACAAATACAACTGCAAAACGGTATTATTATTATTATTATTATTATTATTATTATTATTATTATTACAGGCTATAAACTAAAAGGTACTTACTGCCAGAATTAGGATTTGTTTCATTTGGACTTCCGGTGTCTTTATCCGTAAACATCTCTCCTTGATAATACCTGGATTTATCAGAGGTTACCGTGTCAGCCCGAAGTAGTCTGTTAAGTATTGCTTTGTATGAATACAAGTCTCCAGTTGTACTCACTAATGTCCTGTTTAGATAGACGTCCACCTTTTTGAACATTGCGTGAAAGAACGAGTCCACTGGTGTTACTTTTTTATCTTCGGTTATATGGGAACCGTCGGAGTTTAGAATTCAAACCTTAAGAAATAAGCGTGTACTTTTCAAGTCGGTGTACATATCGCCTTGGAGGTCGGTTTCAAATTCCAGGGGGGGGGGGGGGCTCACCCCCGTTATACTGAGAAAGAAGGCAAATATCCTGTAGTATTTGCTTCTGAATAGCCAATTGGTTCGGAAAAACGCTAAATATGTTGAGTGCGTCCGTCACCGTTTCATTGTCACTGAGGCTCGAAAACACATACATTTTACTGTTTCGACTAAAATACGATCAATTAACTGCTTGTTTTGGAAAAAATGTCATTTAATTTACCGTAACTGAACTGACGTTTTGATTTCTTCGTCTTGCTCACCTCAGAATCTGTACTACTGCTAGCCTTTTTTCAGTTTCCCGTTCGTTTTACTTCCACTTCCGGTTCCGGTGACAATTTTACTGACAAGTTTCTTTTCAGTACGTGAATTTAACTGTGATGCTGCTTGATCGAGCGTTTCTTCGACGGGTGAAACAATGTGTACAGTAGCGTCTGGTTGCCTGAGTTTGAGAGTTTAGAGTTAGCTGGTAATTTTCATTCGTATATTCTCATCCAGGCAGAAAAATTTGGAATGTACAATTCCTTGCCGTTACTGCCGTTGTAATGATCAATGGAATGAATTTTTTTACAAAAATATTCAAGTAACCTGTGTCCTTTTTATGTCAAGAATGAAAGCTTAGGTAGGTTTATATCATGCAGTAATAAATGAAGAGCAACCGAGGGCGTTTTGTTAAAATGTCTGACCACGCCTCTTCATCTGCGTCGTTATGTACTATTACAGCAATGTAAGTGCTTAAATATGTACATTTATTGATTAACGATCACCATAGACTTGTTCTTTTTTCTTCTTGAAATGCATAGTCACGCCTACTTTACAGTTTTTTAAAGCAGTAAATAACTCTCCAATTGCAGATGAACAAATCACATGAATATATTCGATTCGTCGTAAATGCACTGGTTTATAAAAGGAATAATTATCGACTGTATCCACGGAAAATGTTTGACGCGATTTAGAAATAGCAAGCCCACCGCCTAAATTAACTTTTCGAAGTAACTGCGCTTTGCTATCCCCAACGAACGAAAATCCGGCCACATTTAAAGTGATTAAAACATCACGTCCTAAAATAGCGTCCCTCACGATTGATAAATCATCATCATCATCATTCGCTGTGAACCGTTATGTTAGTTAAAGCAACGTACCATTCGTCTCCATTTGTGAAATCTATAGGTTGATGTAAATTTACCCTGAAATTGGCCCCGTTATTATCCGGAAACACAGAAGTGCTATCGTTGCTTCCAATATACGCGTGAAATTGATCATCCATAGTTTGCACCTTCAGTTTTAGTAAGTAAATTTAAATCAATATATATCACTTGCTTGATTGTTTCTTCTTTCGATTGAGCTCAGATTTAGATACCCACCTATCAAATTGGGGGCCGACTCCGCGATACCGAACAAATATCTCTTGAAGTTTTCCCACTTTACGTTGGCGCAATATCTTTTCTATGTCCCAGTTTTTGATATCGTCAAAGTCTTTCTGGACCCTCTGTATCTCCGATTCATAGAATGCCGTTGGTATTGCTTCAGAGTTCATGTCCTCCAAGTAATATACGGGTATATTTTCCCGTAAAACACGCCCTTTTATCCTAAATATCTCATTTGTAAACTTCTGGGTATATGCCCTTTCGAATGTTTGCCTTCGAATACTAACG